CCAGCGCGATCCCCGTCCTTGCCGCCATTCCCGTGCGCGTGCGTCCCCTCACGTAAGTCGCCTAATCCTCCGCAGCTTAGGACACCATCCGCGTCATCCCACTCGCGTGTTCCCGCGCACGTCCAGCCCCTGTCGATCTTCTCGCGCGCGTTGTCGTCGCCCGACACTCCCCCGCCTACGCCGTCGCGGTCCGCACCTGCCATCGCATCGCTCGTCTCGCCTAAGCCTACACGGCTTAGGCCTTCGCCCGCGTACGTCCACTCGCTACCGCCCGCGAGCCCCGCACCTTCAACGCCTTCCCCGCACGCGTCCCAGTCAACCGCGTGCCCAGCGTGCGTCGCGTCTTCGCCGCTCGACGCCCGCGCGTTACTACCATATGCCAATACGTCCCAGTCGACGTCCGTACCCCGATCCTCTACTCGTGCACGATCCCTGGGCCCTTCGCGCGCATCATGGCACGATGCGCGCCATTCGCTCGTGCCTGCTTCCTTGTCGCCGGTCGGCCCCTGATGCTCGCTGATCCCCTTCGAACACTCGCTCGACGGCCATGGGTCCCATCCTTTCAATCTCACACAATCATCTGCCGGTATCCACCAACCATTCTTTTCCCATCGCAAGCCACGCCTTTTAGCCTCCTTCCTTTGAGCTTGTCTTTTCTTTGCACAGGGCTCGCACCTACATTGGCTTGCTCTTCGGGCTCTTGCCTTGCGTTGTCTCTTGGTCGTCCGTTTCCTCACCTTCGACTTTAGCTTTGGCCCACAACCTTTTGGCCAATCTTGTACACATGACGGCCGGTAAATAGGACTAGATGGCGCCTCAAACATGTTTTCCAGCCAAATATCGAGACTGTCGCCATCATCATCGTCTGACTCACCGGGGTTGATGACCACTTCCGTATCATTCCCCTCCTCTTCAAGACTTTCCTTGTCCTCAAGGATTAAGAAATTAAGCGCACCTTCCCCTTCATTGTTCTCAACCACCATCGCTTCACGGGCTTCCATGAGTTGTCGTTCATACTCCTCTATATTCC